TTTCTGTCCAATGTGGAACTCTAACAGTAAACCTATTCTATTTTGAGTTCACACATACAATGACATGAGTCTTTATGTCCTACGGCAGGTTCTGTTGGCTCTTTAATAGGTAAAAGTAAGCCCAACTCAACTCTAATATCATCGTTCAGCTCTAGCATTTTAGCTTACGCTGGGACAGCGAAGATTTTCAGTGCATCTGATATAGAAAGAGTGACCAATAAATTCAATGCCGTCCTAGGGGAAGGCGGCTTTGGACTTGTATACAGTGGCATTCTTGAAGATGGAAGGGAGGTGGCAGTGAAGATTCTAAAGAGGGTTGATCGGAATGGAAGCCGTGAGTTTATGGCTGAAGTTGAGATGCTGAGTCGTCTGCACCACAGGAACTTGGTGAAACTGATAGGCATCTGCACAGAAGACAGGTGTCGTTGCCTGGTATACGAACTTGTTCCTAATGGGAGTGTGCAGTCTCATCTACATGGGGTTGATAAAGAGGCCTCCCCGCTTGATTGGTTTGCTAGGGTCAAGATTGCATTAGGTGCAGCTCAAGGGTTGGCCTACTTGCATGAAGACTCTAATCCCCTCGTAATACACAGGGACTTCAAGTCAAGCAATATACTATTAGAAAATGACTTCACTCCAAAAGTTTCAGATTTTGGTTTAGCTAGATCAGCAATGGATGAGGGAAAGAGGTCAACTCATGTTGTGGGTACTTTTGGGTATGATATTTATCGTTATAACAGTTTGCTACATATACAGAACTAAAACATAGAACCTTCCTCTATACTACTCCTCCATACATGTTCAGGGCTTGTTTGGTTCGTGAGTTTCAGAAATGACGGAATAGGGAGAGTTGGTTATACTAATTATGTGGTTGTAGTCTAAAACAAACAAATAGAGAGATTAGTAAACTAGAAATTTGTCGTCTTCCCTTTCCTCTAGAACTCCTGAACCAAACAAGCCCTTAAGGTTCCCTGACATTATCCATGCAGTCAACTTAACTCTCCTTAAACATCTTATTTTATATAATAAGTTTTTATTTTTATTAAATTTAGATTCATTTTTTGCACTTTAATGGAACTTATAGTGTATTTTCTAAATATATCCATTTTAATTACTACTCCCTCCGTCCCTTATAATTTTGGCAACTTTCCTCTTTTGGTTGTCCCAAAAACTTTGTCACTTTCTCTTTTAATCAATCAATTTGTGGCTTCTGTTATTTCTCTCTCCTCTGTACAGATCTCTACCACACAGTTTTTACTTTATTATTCTACGTGTTGGTCAAACTTGGCAATCCTTTTAGGGACGGAGGGAGTATTACTTTATCATCGGTAACATAATTCTTAAATTAAGACAGAGAGAGTATTGCTTATTTAGTCCTAACAAAGAAAAACTAAAAGTTTCTACCCAATATGCTCTTATATCCTATAACTAAGTTTCCTATGTTGAAGTATTGAACCTTAGATGCCCGGCCCACTGACTAGTTTGTCCCTTCTCGCTAACCACTCACCTTTTATCAATTACCACCGCCTCTGGCTACCCATTGGTGTAGAAATTCTGGTGGCAGGGTCAGTTAGGCAGTTGGGTGGTCAGAGATGGGTGGTAGGCTAAGTGCAATATGAGAGAGGTTGGGGATTTTTTTGTTGCATTGCCTCTTTTCGTCACACTAGCTCATTTTATAAGTAATACTGTGAACCTTCGTTGCGATAAAAGTTAAACTTTTAACCACAAGGCTCCCGAACATTGATGTCATTAGACCACAAGGTGTTTCATATATTGGGCTTTTTTTATTACTGTCATATAAAGTATAAACATTGTGTTTTCAGGTATGTAGCTCCTGAATATGCCATGACCGGCCACCTCCTTGTGAAAAGTGATGTGTACAGTTATGGTGTAGTCCTCCTTGAGCTTTTGAGTGGGCGGAAGCCTGTGGATTTATCACAACCACCAGGTCAAGAGAATCTCGTAGTGTGGGCCCGCCCGCTGCTCACAACACTGGAAGGCTTACAAACTCTTATAGATCCAAGTATTAAGTCAACAGACATTCCATTTGATGGTATGATCAAATTTGCAGCAATAGCAGCCATGTGTGTCCAACCGGATTCGTCTCACCGTCCCTTTATGGGCGAAGTTGTTCAAGCCTTGAAATTCATTCACAACGAGTTTGATGAGGCTAGAGGCCAGGATGACTTATTCGTTGCTACGAAGGCCAATGTATCGATCTGTGTGGGTGGTTCTGCTGTGGATGCTAGGACGCCATTGTCAGTAGGAGATTTGGAGTGTTCATCAGCTAGATTTGAAGCAGTGTCAGAGTTTGAGCCTAGCAGAAGGGAATTCTACTCTGCTCCATTAGGAATGAGTGCAAAAAGGAACTTCTGGCAATTACCCAAGATAATGTCCAAGGGGAGAAGCATGACGGCGTAAGTTAGGGCCCAACTGAGTCACCATGATTTAATTCCCACCTACTCTGTCGGGACGGTGTGCAGGGCACAGGAATGGGTGATTTTGCTTTTTGGTTCAGGAGTGTAATAGTATATATAGGTCTAGAACTTGTAATTATACATAAGTCACCTATTAGAACTTTGCATTGCTAATTCTGTCAATATTTGTTGATCTCGCTTAAGGCTACCTCGTTCCCTTATGTCTTTTCCTTTTTGTCGTCTCCCAGAGATATTTGACATGCTCACTTGCCCGCCTTGGACATTGGTCTTCTTCAGTTCTTGGATGCTTAAGCTGAGCTACAAATATTTTTTGTGCAATTTTAGAGCCCGTTTGCTAACCCGTTTTTGGCTTATCCGCCTTATTGGCAACTTTTTTATCAAATTCAATTTTTTTAATTTAGAATGCTAAATTGTGTTCACTGAATTGGTTGGAAATACCTTTTGACTTATTGTCCTAAATGAGATTAAATTGTTCCTGAATCTCCTAAATAGGACTATGCATATTTTCCCCCCTAAATAGATCTGGATTACCAATTTACCCTTATTCTTTCTCTTTCTCCTCTTTCCCTACGCCTCTTCTTCTCTCATGCGCATCTTCTCCCCCGCAGCTTCTTCTCCCTTCCTTACCCAACTTCTTCTCCTTTCCCTTCGCATAGCACAACCAAACCTTCAAAGCCGGCCATTGTTGATGCGAAGACCACCACTCCTACCCAGTCATAGTCATCGACGTCGCTGCCACGAAGTCCCCCGTCGTCACCATCGCCGTCTGATATCTTCTTCGAAGGTCATGTTCTCTTCATTGATTGTTCTCCCCATCCTTCCTCCCCTCTTCTCTATTTCTCTCTTCTACTCTTCTATTTCATTGCAAATGCTCCATTTCTTCTTTGATTGGCAAAAAATGCCAGTTCAACTCTGAAAATGTCATGAAAATGGCATTCTTATTCTACAAAAAAAATTTGTATTTTTCTTTGAAAATGCCATTAAGATGACATTCTCGGTTCATGTTGGCATATTTTGATAAAAAAAATTGACATTCGTGTCGGCAACAGCCAGATCTGCAACGATAGAGGCGAGATTTGCAGTGGCAGATGCCAGATTAGTTGCAATAGTGGTCGGATCTACAAGGGCAGCGACCGACGGAGGCTACATCAGACTAGATTTCTGGCGGCGCCCGCCAGATCTGCAGTGGCAACAACCATATCTACAGCGGCAACAGTCAGATCTACAATGGCGGCCGGTTTTGAGGTGGCGACGACGTCCGGCGACCGGCGGCGGCCGGCGACTAGCGGTGGTCCGGTGTTCTGCTCGGCGGCAATATGATTTCCAAGATTCAAGGGTGTTTTTGTCCATTTACAAATAATAACTCCTATTTAGAGAATTTTTAAACTTTAGTCCTATTTTGATAATTAAAGATTTATTTACTCCCATTTAGGTAAATATCTCATACTTTTTTACTGAATTGGTTGAAGTTATTGTAGAAGATCATTTTAGCTGTTTTCATATATTTTTTTATTTATTTTAATAACAAAATATATTCAAATATTTTTTCCATAATTGAACAAATTCAGTTAATTCAATTGTGTCAACGAGAATTTCATCAATTTCAGCATAATAATGTGATTCGGTCAATTTTAGTGCTATCAAACAGGCTCTTAATATCTAAAGGCATTCCATGTCGTTCATGTGAATCACACCTTTAATATTTTAAGATTGTACTATAGGCATCATCTTGGGTTTTAAAATTAATACATTTTGATTGCTCCATTTTAGTCCGTTAATCATTTAAGATGTTTTCAGTTTCAGTTTCATATCAGGTCAAGATAGACTAGATCGACTTAAACAAATCAAACTAGATCAGAGTTCGGTAGTTATAACTTATAAAATACATATAGACCAAACATCTACCAATCAATAACATGATTTTGATCTCGAATTTTGATTTTAAAGAACAATTTAAACAAAACCGGGTGACATTAAAATAAAACGTCACATTATGAATTTATAGCAATGAACTACTTTATGAATATTTTTTGTGTCCCAGACTAATATTTAATTCTTATTTTCTTATACTCCGTAATATTTAATTAAGTATTACATAATCAAAGTTTATGTGTTTAGAGATCCATCAATGTAATATTCAGATACATGATCAAGGTTTGATGTATACAATTAGATATTAGGAGTTGCCTTAATGCTAGAAATAGTATGCTCAAATTTAACTTCAGATGATAGTAATATTATATCCCAAGCTTGTAAAAACATAATTCAACACTCCCTCCGTCCCGTAAAATAGTTCCCGATTTCCTTTTTGGTCCGTCCCAAAAAATAGTTCTCATTTCTTCTTTTGGAAAGTTTTGTGTGGCTCACATTCATTTACATTTTCCTTACACAACCACAACCATACATTTCCACTTTATTCCCACGTTTTTAAACCCCGATCCAAGTCAATGCGTGAACTATTTTATGAAACGGAATGATGGAATTCTATTTTGATGACTTCCAAAACAGGTAAGAATAGACTAGTTTAGACTTGAACAAATTGATTCATACCACACCACACTTGAAAGATCCAATCACACCACATTCATTCACATTAAAGTACATATGACCAATTCAGACCATATTAGACTTGGAAAATTTTAGCCCGAAAAGATCCTAAAATTAAGCAACACACCATCTTACATATTTGAACGTTTCTGTCTAATGCATCAACTGATCAAATAAAACATTGGAACCCGTAGGGGTTGCTTGTCTTATTATACAACTTGCTTGTTAAAGTAGCACACAGACTAGGAAGGTTTGCACATACACTACTTATGAGGAACAGGAAGGTTTGTGAGCTTCATTCTCAACTCAACCTCCCCCGATTTCACATCGCGGAGCCTCAACCGAACATCTTGCACGACATCACCATTCTTCTCAGAGAAGATAGAGCTATCCACCACCAGACAGTTGTCACTTTCAGGTATGACCTTCCTCAAGATTAACGGCCCTTCTTCACATGAAATTCCAACAATTTGCCTCAACCTTGCAGCAGCCATCAATGGGTGGAGGTTAACATGCGCATGACCCATCTTGTCGTCAGCCTTGAACCGGTCCTTATCGAACACTCTCTGGATAAATAAACTGAATACTAAGAGTTTGGGTTCATTAGAAAATGTAAATCTAAAAGGTGACTAGTTAATACAATATAAAGTTTGACTTCCATCTTAAGAAGTCTATCTTATACGAGAAGAAGCACATGATCTTATATGTTGGTTTATATTTTATAATTAGCTCACTGATGTAGAACAAACGCCTCAATAGTTTTAGTTCAATCAAGTTGCTCTTTTAAATATAAGGCACAGAAAGTCTATATCTTTATATTTGGTCAGAATGAAATGAGAGCATTCAATTGCAAACAGCTTTTGGTAGATCTCCTTGAACTAAAACCATGAAAAAGGCTGAGACAATTCTGAACTAACCAGTTTCAGAATAGAAGCCGCAGGATCAGATAAAGTGAATGTGAACTCTTCATTCCAAACAGGATCCAGGCAGCTATTTATAACCTTGGTCTTTGCCATCTGTCAATAAGTGGAAATGTGGAATTGAGGTTAGCATTCAATTGCTTAGTCATTAATGCTTTTTGTGGGTGTGAGGAAACAAGAAGAAGAAGAAGAACAGAGAAGAAAGTTGGTTAGGCATTCAATCAAGATTTCATACTTAGATATTCAAACATGCACAAGAAAGGCATGCATTGTTACATATAATCAAATAATGATGAGAGAAATTTGAAAGCATCTCAAAGAAGAGGCATACATATAAAAAATGAGAATAATTTAGGGAGGCAGGTAGAGATTAAAGTATCGATAAAATGAGCGCCGAATATTTTGATATGAAAGAATTTTTCCACTACATAGCACGCTAAGGTGTTCTATAATGAGTCATAGTCGCAATACTTTTTGTATATGTGAAGCATGGAAGTACCTGATTTCCCAGCTCGAGAATAACATAAGGATCACTGCTCCTGAAATCACGGATCACAAGCTTTCTCCCTTTCACAACCGTTATCTTTAATTGCCCCAGTGTGTCTCCCATAACCAGTCAGTTCTAATAAACCCCAAAACTGCTCACAAGACCAAACCAAAGGAAATTTGAAAAAAAAAATCAATTATTTTGATGCAAACTCTCATTACTTTTCCATGAAAGGGAGATAAGTTCTCAAAATGTAAAATGTCTGAAAATCCTATAGGTCAGCGCGATAGATGAATGTGTCTGAAGAGTGAAGACTTGACATGTTTTCACTCAATTTTCAGGTCTAGTTTAATTTTATCTCAATTGGTTTTTGATGTGTTTAAGTCTAATCTAGTCTAAACTTTTTTGTTTTAATGCGTATTTCAGGTCACTTCTGTTAAGTCCCTTATTGTGAAGTTTGTTCTATATTTTTATGTCTGGTCCAATCTAGTCTGACTGACTTGAAATAAGCACAAATACGCAAGTGCTCTATTTAAGTTTGTTCTTGGTGGGCTTAACAAATTCATACCATAGGTCAACCTAGTATGGACCAAACAGACATAAACCGACCCGACTTAAACAAACCAAACCACATCAGATTTCCATAGTTATAAAATATGGACAAGAGGAACAAATTTCAGTCCAAGTACAACTAAAAACATCCTATCACACCACAAGAGCAGTAAAAAAACATATTCTGTTCTTAGGGAAAAATAGGTCAGCTCTCAATCGCGTGAATTATCCATCGAATAAGATCAAAAGCATATTGAAACACAATGGTAAATAACAGATAGTTTTTGTTAAAGAAGGAAACTTAGAGTACACCCAGACTCTTGGAACAGAGCAGCCACCAGACTCACACTCCAAAAGAGAAAGACAGAAACTGTAAAATTCAATAGAAGATGAAAGACAATGAGTTTTGCTGCTTACATAAAAACCAAGCAATGGAATCTGGAAAAGTTAGCAGCTTGGTTTTGGGCGTGTGGTTTGAGCTCGGAAAGGGAGTTGTGAACAGGCAAGGTGCGGCTCTTTGACTACAACTCTTAGCTTGTAGATGGTTTTGGTCAAAAAGAAGAATTGGGTCAATAGATTTGTTTATTGGTGCCTTCGTGGTGGGTCTCAGAATGAGGGAAGATGATGACATTGTTATGGGCGCACGGCTTCAGTCAGTGGCCCCCAAGAGCCCATCCTATTTGGTCGAGCAGCGAGTGGAAAGAGACTATTTGAACGAGGAAAAACAAGTGCTTTTGTTAGCTGGTTCCCTGATCTACTGAAAACAAAACACCCAAATCCCGCATTTTAAAATAATGGGAGACTAACGTCTCTTTTCGGATCAAACGCATAACTTTTGATTTCAAATACGGAGTACTAATCGGAGTACTAACTATTTTGATTTCAAAATAGTACTCCCTCCGTTCCACAATTAAGTTTCTCATTTTACTTCACACATATTAAGAAAATAAATTTGACTTTACTGTGGAGTGTGTTGTTTTGCACTGTTCAAACACTGTTTGGACACTGTTTGACACTGTTTGACACTGTTTTGCACTGTTTGACACTGTTTTGATGTAGATAACTTGCCAAATAAGGAAAGTAAGGAAGTGTGAACTTAATTTAAGGACTGCCCAAAAAGAAAAATGATAACTTAATTGCAGGACGGAGGATGTATAATAATTGAAAAAGTATGATTGAAGTAATCTTTCAGACTGAATTGACCGAAGCTATTGAAATGAACCATTTTTGCTACTACCTCTGTCCCAATTTGATGGTATCAGTTGTTATTCAAATAATCAACACAAATCACTTTTAATCCCTTAATTTATATATCAAATTTGATTTTGATGTTTGCGATTTTGTAATGTTTTTAATGTAGTTTCTGAATATGTAATTTTTTATTCTAAAAATAATTTGAGTGTGGACAGGGATCCATTTGCTTTATCGTCAGTCAAACAGGGTAAACCGCAATGATATCATCAAATTGGGACGGAGGCAATACTGATCATATTAATTTTTTATGGATAAAATATGGTTTAATTTAATGTTTTCGTAATTCGTCATATTCTACCGATTCAGTAGCTTTAACTAGAGTATCTGTGAAATGAGTAATGTAGGGGAGACCGGGCTAAACATTTTTAGAGTAAAAATGGAATTTCATTCTACATAAAAATGTGACATAAATAATTAGATGCTGAAAATTTAAGTGACTATGGACATTCAATTTTTAATCACATATGTGTATATGTGAATTTTCTGGAAGCAAATTAGAAATAGAGAAGCAGAAGGAATTAATTCTCTATTGAAGAGGATGGAATGTATTTATACAACCGTAAGTCAACTTTCAATCTAACAACTGACTAACTTGTATGACTAATAGTTTGACTCGTGGTAAGTAGCTACTAACTAGTTGTTAACTATAACAACTAATATCTTCACATCCCCTCCTCAAGTTGGACTTTAGCTGTTGAAAGAAGTCCCAACTTGGAAACAAATAGCTGACGATGCTTTGCTTCTAGAGCCTTTGTGAAAACATCTGCAGGTTGACAACCAGAAGATATGTATCTAGGTTCCAAAAGTCCTTCAAATCTCTCTCACACAATGACAATCAATCCTTAGGGGTTTTGTTTTGTCATGAAAAACAGAATTTTGGACTATATGTTGGGCAGCCATATTATCACAATATAGTGAAATAGGTTTTGGAATCTCATGTTGTAATTCTGTAAACAACCCATCAAGCCAAACAATTTCTGCTGTTGTATAACTCATTCTCCTGTATTCAGATTCTGCAGTTGATTTGCTTACTGTCTTTTGTTTCTCTGTCTTCCAGGAAATGAGTGACTTTCCAAGGAAGATACAATAACCAGATTGGGTCAGGAGGATCCATCAATCATGAGCTACAGGAACATACCAGATATTGAGGATTTTACATCAATTTCGAAATCTCTATTCAATCTTGATATTTTGGCAACCTGTCCAAACTCTCATCGGACGGTAGCTACGGAGGAGGATATATATGGTTCTAAAGAGGACGCTCTAGAACAAGGACAACCGTAAAGAATACTCTTCTCACCCTATGGTTACCAGAAGTCAATCACGAAGCCATAAAATAGATGACTTCACTGAAGGATTGATAACTAGATGTCAATCAAAAACGCCCCAAGATGATGAAGACTATTACATCTACCCAACTTACTCAAGCTACGATTCACCTCAAAAGCTAATAACAGGACTCAAACGTTATAAGTCAGCACACCCAGATGCAAAATCGTACCCTCCTTATCTCCAACGGGCTATCCATTTTCACCTCAAATACAATCCACGACTCTCAACCAATGTAGGTGTGCCTACAACGAATGTTATTTGTTAACTCTTTCTCTTGCGACTTTTTCTTGTACTTTCCTTTTTCGATCTTTGTACTTGTAATCCTTTTCTTAATAAAATGGAAAGTGTTCCCCGGCGCTTTCCCCGCTCTAAGTGGGATTTCCGGGGGGAAAAAACCATATAGGGATCTTCCTGTCATGAAACATGATCCCCAATCAGCATCACAAAGGCAGATAATTCAAGTGATGACTGTGTTGGATAGAAAAGACCAAGATTGATGGTGTGCTTAAGATAACGAGCAAGGAACAATGCTGCTTGCATATGACTTATCCTTGGTTCATTCCTGAACTGGCTTAGTTTTTGTACAATGTAGGAAATGTATGGTCTTGTCAAGTTTAGGTATAGGAACCTTCCAGTTAATCTCCTGTATTGTTCTGGTTCATGAAGTAGCTCACTTGTATCAGCAGATAGTTTGAGTCCTGTAGGCATATGAAACTGTGCAGGCTTACAATCAATAATCTTGACGTCATGTAAAATATCTAGGATGTATTTTCTTTGATTAAAAATAATACCTTGTTCATTTCTTGCTACTTCTATTCCGAAGAAATAATGAAGCATACCAAGATCTTTGATAGTAAAAGCTTCATCTAATGCATTCTTTGTTTGATCAATCTGCCCAGGAAATGATTCATGCCTTAGATAAGAAGGTAATGGGTTCTAATATGGTTATTAAACTTGATATGACCAAAGCTTTTGATAGGCTTTCATGGGAATTCCTATCTAAAGTGTTGCAGGCTTTTGGTTTTAGTGATCACTTAATTCATCTTATTAATAATAACCTTCAGGTCACTTTCCTTTCTGTTTTGATCAATGGGACCACGCAAGAATTTTTCAAACCTACAAGGGGTGTTAAGGAAGAAAATCCTCTATCCCCCTTTTTGTTTATTTTGGCATCTGAAACTTTTTCAAGAGGGCTAAATGGGTATATCTTCAAAGGTCTCATCAATCCTTATTGGATGGGGAGAAATGGTAGGCCAGTTTCCCATTTAGGGTTTGCAGATGACATCCTCATTTTTATCAATGGAGACTCCAGATCTATTGTTAATTTTAACAGATTCCTCACCTTATATCAAGACACCTCAGGTTCGTCTGTGAATCTTGATAAAAGCTCCTTTGTTTGTGGTAAGCTTGCATCTTACAGGAGTCAGGCCATCAAAGAGCTACTGGGAATGCAGAAGAGCTCTCTTCCCTTGAAATACCTGGGATCTAACCTGCATAAAGGTATCAATAGACATCATTGTTGCCATAACATCATTCAACAGTTTGACTCAAGACTATCAACTTGGAAGCAGAAAAACTTATCAGTGGGAGGTACACTCATATTGATCAAACATGTCCTGGGAACTATTGCTCTTCATCATATGGTTGTTGACATTCTGCCTCGCAAGATCAGGAATATCCTGGAAAAAAAGATGTCAAATTTCTTTTGAGTACCTCTAATAACAAGCCCAAATATCACTGGGTCAGTTGGGCTAAGATGTGTTATCCTAATGAAGAGGGTGGTCTAGGCATTAGATCTTTATGTGATATTGAAAAAGCTTTCTCCTTAAAGCTTTGGTGGAAATGGAGTACTAATTCTGGTTTATGGGCTTCTTTTATCAAATCTAAATATCCTAGGGATGATGATATGAGGCCTAGAATTACTGACTCACCCACTTGGAAGAGGATATGTTTTGTCCACGATCTGGCCTCCTCATTGGTGGAACCTTCTGCTTCTTCTGTTTCTCATCAGTTAACCTGGAAAAATTATAGCAATGGTCAGTTTTCTTTGAAATTTGCCTATCAAGCTGTTAGACACTCTATTGGCTCTACTTTTTCCTATAAACACATGTGGCATCCTCAACAACAGCTTAAACTTCAATTGTTCCAGTGGAAACTTTTTAGAGGTATTCTACCTATAACTGATAATCTCACCAGATTCAGAAAGGTTATTCTACCATCTATTTGCCCCCTATGTGTAAGTTGTGGAGACTCAGCTAACCATATTTTCCTGAGCTGTACCTTTTCTAAGTCAATTTGGGAGTATTTTGCCAGGATATTGAATATCCCCTGTACTTCAGTAAATCACTCAATTCGCAATCACTTTCTGGGTTGGTAGTTTGAGGCAGGTAGTAAGAATCTTATTGACATTTTAAAGACAAATCTATCTGGTATAATATGCTGGAGCATTTGGAAAATCTATTCTGATCTCATATGGGGCTCTCGGTCTGCTATTCCCAATTTTGAGCACATCGTTTGGCAGATCATAATGTATACGCAAAATTGGGCTCTTAGCCTTTCTAAATTGAGGATATGTAGTATTGACAAGATACTTTTTGAGGAAGGGATTCTTCCTTCGAATTTTCATCTTACTAAGAAGCTTATAAAACTAATTCGATGGAATAGGCCAATTAAAGGTCTTAAAATGAACGTTGATGCTTCATTCATACCTGGAAATGCCGCTGGGGTGCGCTTCTGAGAAACTCGACAGGGGATTTGATTCGTGCCATAGCCTTTCCTCTTCATGCGTCATCTTCCTGGGAAGCTGAAATGTTGGCAGTAATGAAAGCAACTCGATGGGCGTTGAATGAAGGCTTCTGTGGATTCCAAGTTGAATCTGATGCTGAAGGAATGTTGAGTTATCTCTCGGGCAAGCTGAAATGTTTGGGAATGGAGGATATTGTTGATTTCAGACAGATGCATGTGTTTTAGGAAAGGTATCTGGTTCCAACATCTTTTTAGGGAAGGAAACCGGACCGCTCACTTTCTTGCTGCTATACCGTCGGCCCAATTAACTTGTTGGACTTCCGTCCAATCCTTACCCGACCTAGTTCGTAATGAGTTTTATTTTGATTATT